TAAGCTGCCAGGATTTCAGGAATGGAAAATGACTCTTCAGGCTCTGTGCTACTTTCATGCTGCTTCCTGACTTTTCCCTTTTAGACTTTTTCTCTGTTTCTGGGAATGCTGCCAGACTGAAGGCACTTTGCCTGCAAAGCTGTCTAGCCTTGTTGTCCATATCCCTTCCCAGATAGCTTAGGTGAGTGCCTGAACATCCACAGAGGAGTCTGTTCCACTGGCCTAGAAACTACACTGTACAACATCCTTGACACTTCCTCACACAGGACTATTCCCTCATCCTGGCTGATCTCTTACTGTCTTTCATTCTCTCCAGAACTACTTAGCAAATGATTAAAAAAAAAAACAGATGTTGAGACACATTTTGGCATAAGATCAGTCACTGTTTTTTTTCTGATGAGAATTACATCAGTAGCTCCAAGCGAAAGACAACTTGTATTCTTGTCCTCTTCTACCTTCCCACACTCCAAATAATTATCAATCAGATACATGAGTCAAGATTGATAAAATATAACTTTAGCCTTTGTCAGTAAAACAATGCCCTTTCTCTCCCTACCTCCCAAAAAGTCCCACAATAGCAAGCTTTCCTACCAATCAATCACCTGATAACTCCACCTGTCCAAGAATTTACAATGGCTGCTAGCACACTGAACAGCACATAAATATCTCAGCATTTGCCATCTTCTTACACATGAATTCTCACCTCACCTATCTCTTCCAGATGCCATTCCTTGTAACAGCACAAACACACAGCTTGCTCTGGTTACCTCTGCCACAAAAGGTTCCTTCCTTCCTTTCAGTTCTTTCCCTACAGATAAAGGCTAGAACATATCATACCTAAAGTCTACCATGACCAGAGAGACTAGAGGCCCCTCCATGCTGATGAGGAAGGGCTGCTCACAGTCTGTCTAAAGAGAAAATGGTAACCTAAATGCTGAATCTTTCAGTCCTTCAGAAATGTCTCTATGAAACTTAAAGTCTCTCTTTGAATCTTAAAGTTTAAAAGGTGTGGGTTTTTGTCTCTTTTAATAAATATTTTTTCCCAAATATTTAGACAATAGACTGAACTCACCCTTTCTTGGGCCATTGAGAAATTGCCAGGAAAATCCATGAAACCCAACAAAAATAAGTTGTATATGCCATAGACTTGCATTTTTAAAGGCTGACACATTGTCAAGCTGAAGCCTGGCTTCCTGACTTGACTTTGGCTGAGTAAGTAGAGGCAGGGCTTTTGCATAAAGTAGTTTATGATGTGACTTTACTGCTTGTCCTGGGAGAGCAAAAGGTCTCTGAGTGTTGCAGCATGTGGATATAGTTTATTTTCAGCTTCCTACTTCCAGCACTGTGCCAGTGATTTCTACTTTTCTCTGCATGTGAGCCAGGCACATATCACAGTGATCACATCTCCCCTTATCCAAAAGCTTTTCTTCCTCTAGCAATTCCCTTGTATTTGCAAATGCCAGCCTGGCATTAGCTCAATATTTTGTTCATACATCTGCAGATCTATTCCTACAGTGTCCACCTATTAAAAACACCCTCAAGTATCACAAGACTGACATACAATAGTGAACAGAAAGCATAAAAGCACTGTCATGTGCTTTCTGCTGCTAGTCAGACAATGCTGTAAGCACTGCAGTCAGGTTTCCAAGTCCTAAAGCAAGTCTGTCAGCTAATACAATGCCACGTGGATTCAAGTCTAGTAACTGAGATTTCAGCTTCACTTATGTGATTTGCAGCATCCTTAGAAGGCAGCTGCACCTCTACTTCAGTCTTCCCTGAATACACACAAATATTTAGATGGTCAACCCTCCAGCTAATGATCAATGCCTGAGTTCCATAAGCAGTAGAGCACACTATGATTTAGATAAAGGTATTAATTTTTTATGCTGTCTAGCCCCCAGCCCATCTGTGGATGCTGCATGCAATTTAACAAGACAAAAACGTTTTCTGCAGATACTAAATTTAAAAGAACAACTTTTTTTCCCCCCTCTTAATTTGGCATTCAGCTATCCATCAGGGTAAGCAACAAGTGACTTGGCAGATAATTCAGGACATATGGCTTTGAAGAATGGTAATTTAAAAGTACTTGGACAAGTTTCCTCAACTCATTCACATTAATTTGTGCTATTCTCTTTTACTTGTGCTCTAGCAGCTGGTACAGCTAAAAAAGTATAGAAATATAATGAATATAATGCAAGTGGCAAAAAACCCTTTCTTGTATTGGATTAATGTATAGTGCAAAAACTTCTCTCAAAAACTGAGAAGCAGAAGGAGTCCAAAGACAATTCAGAACTGTTAAACCTACATGCCTCATCTGTAGTCACCCGGTGGCACCAGATGTATCCATACATTGTTAATTAGGCTAAAACCATTGTAACCTGCGTGGTCGTGGAAATGCTGAGGCCATCACGTGCGGCTATTAGGCAGAGCCAGCAGCTGAATGATCAACAGACTACAGAGTTTAGATTTAACTTTAACGAGATCTGAACATTGTTTTATAGTTTGGGGGTTTGGGGGGTGGGGTTTGTTTGTTTGTTTTATTGGGGTTTTGTTAGGGTTTTTTGTTATTGGAGTGGGTTATTTTGAGTTTGTTTTGTTATGGTGGGTTTTTTGTTTGGTTTTTCTTCTTTTTTTTTTTGTTGTTTCTTTTAGGAGAAAGTGTAAATTAGATATCAGTGGCATCTCTAATTTGGAGATGTTGATTATAAAACTTTTCTAAAAATGCAAAACCAGATTACTTTAACTAAATGAATTGATTCCTGGTCAGAATTAACACATTGTTACATTTCCCCCCTTTTTTTTGCAATGCTTAAAATGTTTAAAGCATTAAAGTTTGGAGGATAACCAGTTCTTTTAAAAGATACATTTCAGCAGTCCTGAAGAATTTTAGCTTTCTGTTGATACAGAGGACATTTTCTTCTAGATTTCTGACATTGACAATGAGAACTTGAATTATATAATGAATTCTATGCTTAAAATTATTTCGTTTTACAAATATAGCTACATTTTTGTATGAACTGAAGCTGAAATTAGCTATGCATCATACATAGGATATTATCTCATGAATATAAAGAAAAAAATAGTGAGAGCTAATTCATTTACTTGTGAATCATATCAGGTTTTTTCCAGAAATTCAATGTTCATAACTTTTTCACTAATTAAATATTTTGGAAACTGTTTCTTGTGCCTGGAAGTATTTAGCAAGGTGTTTTTCTTTCTATTATTAACTGTCTTCTGTAGAAATAAAACTTTTCATCAGGGACCAAAGGAAAAAAAATCAGCAAAAAAAGGGTTGACCTCAGCCAAAAGGTACTTTTTTATTATACCAAATTCATTGTGGCATTACTGCAAAAATGCCATTGGCATTTACATCCTCTTCAGCATGCCATGTTCCTAAAAATGAACCAGTGTGATCATCAGTGTATTATTACACACACACCTTTGGATGGCTACCATCAAATGGCATGAACTCTACCCTGTCAATGGCAACTTCCACTGTAGAGGCTGCATAATGGACACACAGGGGTTTTAACTGGTTTGGGATGATCCTTCAGGCTCCTCGTACACAGCACTGAGAAATTCCCATGCGCTGTATCCTCATCTGCACTATCAGTTCAGGAATCAAGAAATAAGACAAACATCATGTGAATATAGTTTTCTTCCCTTTCTCTGACATACATCTGTTGTCATTTTACAGGAGCTCTGCATTTACTATCTAGAAGAAAAGGCAGGCACACACATTTGCAGGAGTACCTAGTATCTCTTTCTTTCCATAACAAAGGAGCATAGAATTAATGCTATTTTATCAGCAAAAATTATACTTTTTGCCTATTATCTGCAATTCTATCCATGGCAAGTATATTATACTGTAATTTAAGTATATTATATGCATTATGTGTAAAAGGGCTGTAATAATTTCAACATACTATTCATTGAAATACATTAATAGAGTACCTATAACACAAGAAAGCTGAAATTGATGAAAATAGAGTACAATAGTATAACTACTTTTAAGGTTTTTCTTCCTAGAAGAGTCATAGGAATATCAGAACTCATGGGCTATGTTATCCTGTCTCCACTATTTTCTTAAAATGAGAAAGATTTGCAAGAGGCTAGATACTTCCCAGAGATGTCTCAAAGCAGTTCAAGGGAAAGCAGAATAGGTCTCAGATCATGAATGAAACTATATGCAATGTTTTTTTCCTTTGAGAAAAGACAGGGAGAAAGGGAGAGATGTTTGCCCTTTTTTAGCTGTACTTCATAGGATGGATGACTACTTGAGACAGGACTGAAGTTCTGATCAACTGGGTCGTGTCCACCAGTTTTGCCTTTCTGAGTTGGGATACGATGACCTCTACATGGATGGGCTTAAACATTCCTTGACTTTCATGGGAGTTTCATAATTAAATCAAAGGGACTGCATATTAACTCTACTATTCTCTTTGGAATTATTTGATTCTTTGAATGATTAAAGATTTCCCAGCCATATCTGCAGGAATAATATTATGATTATACAGAGGGGAGTTATGGGAAAGACAAAGAGAGACTTTTAACCAAGACCTGTAGTGACAAGAAAAAAGGCAATAGTTTTAAACTCAAAGAGGGTAGGTTTAGAATGGACAGAAGGAGGACATTTTTTACATTTAGGATGGTGAGACACAGGATAAGGCTACCCAGAAAAGTTCAGGGTGTCCTGTCCCTGGAAGTGTTCAAGGTCAGGCTGGATGGAGCTTTGAGCAGCCTTGTTTAAGGAGAGATATCTCTGCCCATGGCAGGATGTTGGAACTAGACTTGAAGGTCCTTCTGACTCAAAACAATTTCTAACTGTATGATGCATAAACATAGATGAATACAATGCATTCAGCATCAAAGGAATTGATTTTCTGATTTTAAGTATTGTGTGCCAGGATGATGTTTTGTTTTTCTTTCTCTTACCCCCTTTGCACAATTCTTCCCTTTACATTAGACCAGATTATAAACTCAGAAAACCCTGCACATACCTGCTTCTCTCCACTGGGTTTCTTGTGATTCAACAGCAGCTCCACGGCTCCAACCACCTCCTTCCGTATGGCATGCAACAGAGCATCTCCCACATACACGTTAAAACTTAAGAGAAGCTCAATGAGCTCAAGGTTCTCATTTTCAATTGCAATTAGGAGTGCAGTTCTTCCCAGGGGATCAATGCAGTTAATATTGATCTTGAAATAAATTTCTGCCTCCTCCAAGGCTTTCTTTACACTGGCGTAATCTCCTTTCTCCACGGCATTCAGGTAGGCCTTCTCTGAATGGGACAGTTCGGATTCTGCCCGCACGATGCGAAGAGGGATTCGATCTCTGTAGGGAGCATTGACGCTTCTTTTGTAGTAGAACTGGGCCATATTTTATGCCATTCTAATACTTTGTCTCTGCAACATGAAAATGAAGATAAAATCAGTAATTGAGCTTGGGGTATGGTGCACCAAATTAATATTTGCTGTATGTACATATTTAAAACTCATACTAGAAAGTGATGTTGAAACATTTTTTATCAATAGAACATGTAAGCAAAAGTGGAAGCCGAAACACTGCTTATTTGTAACTTACCAAGTAAAAGCATATCTGCCAGAATACCATTTGCTTATTTGCTTTTTATAAATCTGTGGCAAACAAGAAATTATATGGTACCAACATAGTTTACCACCAGAAGTGTTGGTCCACTTCATCCTTAATCCCTTCATTCAGTTCTGCAAGGACTTTAAGAGCACAGTTGCCTGTCTCAAACACTGTAAAGTCCACAGAAAGACTTGCCATGGGAAAAGCACAGAATGGAGTGACAGGATGGCAACCACCCCAAATCTGACAGAGGAGAGATCTGGTTAGCACATCCTGGTAGGTGCATCCAGACAAAAAATCACCCCAAGTTATGGGAAAGATGGTATCTATGACCACCAAAGATCAGCAAAACCTCCCTCTACCTCCCAAATATGCCTCTGTGGGTAACTTGAACTTGGACTGTAAGATAAACCACTACTGCAGGGACTTGAGATAAGTTAAAGGTGGTACTATCGTCCAAGTGCTGTCTCAGACCTAGGGAGAGATTAACAGAGCCTGGGGAAAAGAATGGATCACTGCTAATGGACATAAAGAATGTAGAATTTATGGGCCACAAGGAAAGGCAATTCAAAAACTGCACTGAAATTAACTTGGATTGGGTAAAAGGTAATTCCAATGGAGAGATCTCCTCTGACATCCTACAAAAACCTATGTGTTGCTTAAGGACTGTGTGTGAACAATATAGCTTTTACATCTTTCTAGTCCTGCTCAAATATCCTGACTTTTCTATGACAGGCACAGACTGCACAGTTCAGTGATGAGCTTCCCTACTAAGATTTTGATTCAATCTCATATGCTACTAGAAAAACATTCACATAAAATGTTTTTCTAACCAGAGCTCACTAACTTATAAATTAAAACTCAGAACCTAAAAGGAAAACCAATATGCATAGGAGATAAATTTCCAAGAACTGGTAGATAAGAGTCACAGTTTTCATTCTGAACTACTAAGTTCTAAACTAGAATTAATACTGAAACATAGCAGCAATAAAACCACTATAAAGTCTTACATATAGTAAAGCATATAATATCTATGCTTTTATTCTATATACTTTATTAGAGAACTTTGCAAAAAAAAATTCCTTCTAAAAAGTTATTTTCTTCTGGTTCTATCTTCCACCTGGGAAAAAAACAAGGGAAAAAAAAGGGGGAAAGAGGAAAGAGGGAAGAGAAAAAAACTGACCTCAAAGAGCAAGGTCCACAAAAAAACATTTCCCTCAGCATTTCAATTGGAGATTGAACACCTTATTAAAGAAAGAGCTGTAGCTTCTTGTCATTTTCTCAGCTGATAATGCAAGCTGCATTACCCACTGCTTTTTCCTCCACTTTCTTCAGTCATTAAAATAAAATCTCTGTTGAGATTCTATAGCAAGCTATAATACATATTTTTATTATTGTGAGGTTTTCATTCGTCAAAAAAAAGTCACTTAACACTGTGAGGAACATAGTAATAAATCCACTCCCTATTTTCTTAAGCAGTGCAATGAGAAATATGTAAAGGCTGTTACTAAGTTGTTTTCTTTGTTTTCAAGAGCAGATCAACATGGCTTGACACAGGCAGGAAAAGGTAAAAAAGATATGGGAGAGAGAACTCTCTGCCACATCCATATACAGGAGCTGAGGAACTGCCAACCTTTGCAAGATGTTTCCCAGTTCTCCCTACAGAATGGTATCAGCCTACAGTCTGGACTACTAGAGGTTGCGAGCCTGTGGATTATGTTCTGTTAATCTCACTCTAAGTAAAATAAAGCTCATATCCATTGCACAGTTCTGTACCCCTGGAACAGATATCATGTTCTTAATGCACTGTATTTTATCTCTTTGCTTTTCATTCTTTCATTTCAAAACTGCAAGTTCAATTCAAGGAGGCGAAAATTTTTATGTTCAGATCCAAATTAAGAGACATAAATATAGTTCACAAGGAGGTATCTGTAAGAAAGGTGGACTGCCATATTGCATGGATAGCCATGGACACTTTGAGTTTCATACCCATGTTCCCAAACTCAGGTAGATTGGGTGCTGGATGTGGAAGGATGTCCTGTCTGACTCCGGCTGCCACCTGACAAAGACTTAGGTTTCAACACAGGCTCTATTTCATATCTGTCAGGCAGATGTCAAGTTAACCCACAACAATGTACGCACATTATCCAGTTTTTTAATATATAAAGAGTTCCCAAGACCCTTGAAGAAAACAGAGGGACTGCAACTGGGGGGTTAATGCTAAAGGCTTCTCTCTCTTAAAAGCACATGAATAAAAAGATCATTGTCTCCACATTTATTGTGAGAAAAACCATGAATTAACTTGTATCAATGAAACTGGGCATCAGAAATGTTTATTCTAGAATAAGAGAACACTCACCTACAGATGGGATCTATCATGATTTAATAAGAATGATTTGGGGGTTTATTGTTTCTTTGTTTTTATTTTAAGTCTGATGAAGATCTTTTGTTTCTTCACTGTAAGCCATAAGGAAAATACTTGTTGGAACTTCTTTTGTTTACCTTTTCATGATTCTTGAGAAGTAGATCTAAATTTAGTTAGATATTAAACACACATTTTCATTCTTTTAAATAGCTGTCCCCCACTAATCTCTATTTGTTGCCTGAACCAATTCTTGAAAATAATTACCCATAAATAAGGTTTAGTTTTAAGTAAAAGTCTATGTTTACATGCAGTTAGAAAGTAGAGATTGATTGCTGATACAGGATGGTCCTGGAGGGTGATACGAACATCAAAGATAATAGTTCCATGGGTGTTTACAAAAAAAAAACTGTTTATCATTTTATCTACAGGTAGATAGTGTTGTGTAACAACTGTTACTGTGCTGTCACATATAAATGCATGCGTATGACATTTACATGGAGCTGTAAGACCTAGAAACAAACCAGCAGCACTACAAAAGTTTCCAATTGCTTTGAACATCTCTGCAGGAAGAAGTCTAAAGAAACAGGAGGTCAAAAACACAGGGCCAGTGCGAGGAGAATGAAAGAAAAAAAGTTATGGAACAAACTTATGAAAAATGTAATTATAGTTTCTACAGAGTTCATATACCTGACTCATAATAAAAACACTTCAGAGAAGAAATGAAGACAAAAAAACTTTATATGGTGCTTCCCGCTGTGCAATGGAAATATCAGCAGCACCTGAGCAGGAGAAAGAGATAAAGAAAGGAAATCATAATACTTTGACAGAATAGTGATTCTTAAGAGAAAACATTTTTTTCTTAACAGTCAGTTTTGTTTGCACCTGCTACAGACCACTATTTCAAATTACATGAGACTGTTTCTTTCATATGTTGTTTTTCATGAAGGAATGGTAACATTCCACCTTCTTTGCAAACCTTTACCATTTCCACTCTATCATTATTTAATAATTGCATATGTCCTTAGAAAAGTTGATGTTATTAATTTTGATAGTCCTAAATAAACAATTGGACTTTTTTTTCTGCTGCCATATCATTGTGTATATGTACATATACATGCATATTATAACCACAGGCACACAGATATTTCCCCATCAAAGCTCAACAAAAACTGCAATCAGATTTCCTTGGCATTTATTCGATCATATTTGCTTCCTTTACATATATGATCATATCCTCCCTATTTTTCCAGAGGACCCTGACTTGCACTTCCTTTGCTTGCTGCCCCCTACCCCAAAACCAGGTGTGAGAGGGAAATTGGAGTGAGCCACCAGCAGGCACCAAGGGCCTCAGCGACAAGCCACTTGTATCACTGCTCACAGACGTACTGCAAACCTTCCAGAGACAGAGACAGACCCCAGTGAGGACACATTTCCTTCAGCAGATGGGAAGTGGGAGGGATACAGATAGGCTTGTTAGTATCCACGTGTGCAGCTTCTGAAATCCTCACTGACACAACCCTTCTAAAGACATTGTATTTCCAACACTGACCACTGTTACACTTACTATAGCATTACAGTATATATAGATAGATAAATATAGCATTATCCTATATAGCTTCTTCTATATAATCAAAGCACACTTCTGATTCTGCTCATGAGTTTGTTTTTCAGACTATTTGCATTAAAAAAAAAGCAAAAGTGAAACTTCACATGTAACTATGGCATCACCCTGCTCAGAACCAGAACATTTATGACAAGTGAATAACGTGCTGATTTCTCTGATCTTCTGAAACTATTTTATATGCACTTTTCATGGCAAAGGAAATTTTCTGACATTTTTTAGGTTCATGAAAGTATGACATTTTTCCTTCTAAAATAGACCTGTGACATACCAGCTTTAATCTGACACAAAACGCTATACGATACACAGTAAAAATGATGTTCAAAGAGAATTTTGGAAAGTAAGACTAGCTCTGATAAATCCCAGTCCAAATGAAGCATAAAGTTCCTTCTCTGTCAGTCACCAGAACAGACTGTTTCATTTCAACAGGAACAAAAGAAATGCAAATAAGTCTTTGATTTCTGAACCCAGCATTAGTCGAGATACTGCCTTATAACCAAATGTCTGAACAGCAACTTTAACATTCTCTAGCACTGGGGTCACCTGGATAGGCTGTGTCCATACTGTTAAACATACTTCACCCCAAAACAGGTCAGCTGAATGAGAACTGTCTTCTGGGGATAATTTGGGGCCCAGGCTAACTCCTACACTGTGCCTGGAAAGTGTGTAGGAAGCTAGAATTGTATTGAGCCAGCAGTTGGGTTGATTCCAGGGACTGCTCGAACAACTTTGGCTGCAGGTGATGGAGTTTCACTGATCGTGCCTGCCTTCTAGCACTGTTTGTTTTATAGCTGTTGTAGCTGGCAAAATACAGTATGTAGGGTCCTTACCTGAAAGTAATTTTTCATTGTTAGAACTACAGTTAAGATTTGAAAGCTAACAATAGCAAAAGTAGCAATTTGAAATTCAAAATTTAACACTGATTCACACATGCAGGACATAAACTGAATAACTCAGTATGGTGCACGTTCCCTATAAGGCTGTTAATTTGGAAAAGAGCTAAACCTCTCAGTTTTGCTCTGGTCTAAAATGCCCTATAATCAAAGTTTCAGTAAAGCAAAGAACATGACCTAGTATACAGCTGTAGTGGATGATGGGAAGCAGGTTGCCATGTCATCTGCTTACAGGTATTCTGGCTTCACAGTCAGGAGGGCAGGACATCAGCTACAAAGAACAACTTTAAGCATCTAAGGTACAATGGTTATGTGGTGGAATAAACACCACCAGCATTTTATATCAGCATCTTAAGAGATCAAAACTTAGGAAAGTCTGAGTCTGAGACACTGAATGTGTAAATCTTCCATGAGGTGACACAGACTACTTACTTTGATGAGTTTTTTTTGTAAAAGAGAGGATGCAATTTCATAGCATTGTTTGGGGGGGGGGTTAAAGTATGGTACTTCATATATAGCATAAAGATGGTCTATAAGTTTACTTAATGATAAATGGGAGGAAACTTTTACCTTCTAGGGCTGATGTTACACCAAATCTTAGTTGAGAATGATAGATTCTTATAACAGTGACCTTTAAAGTCCACAAGACTAATATCAGACTGGAGTTTGAGAAATATCAAAATAGAAATAAAATACCATTGAGAGACATTAGAAATTATTACCGGATCTGAAAGGGGTAGGATGATTTGGGGTCAAGCATACAGTATTGCAAATCTGCATATTTCTTAAAAAAAGAGATATTCAAGAACTTGATTCTTCAAATACACTTAAAACTAAGCTTTATTTCATATACCCTTTGGGCAAAAATCTCATTGCTCACTCACGAGGAAAAAAAAGAGCATCATTAGGTCACAGAAGTATCATTAGATGACAATATTAAATTAGTTCATCTTCCCAGTTTATTTAAACAAGAAAAAGGCACTCTTCAGAAAAATACAAAATGCATGGTTACCTCTTGCTGATGGCTAGCAGTATGCAAATGTCCTCAGGGATCCGTGGGAATGACCTTGAAGCTTGAACTATTTGTACTTGCCCAGAGGGAAATAGTGACGTGTTTAAACCTGCTACCAGAGCAAAGGAGAGAAAAACTGCTTTCCCCTGACTGACATGAACTTGTTCTTTGAAATGATGGAGCATGAAAGATGCGAGTCCAGCTGACACGCAGTAGGCAGCCAGTTTAGGGTGGGAAGGACAGGGAAAGCAATAACACAGATAATGATCTTAATGAGTGACTGCAACATCCAGTTGAGTTGACCTTCCTGTCTCCTTGGCTGGTGTTATCCTCCTGGGTAAATTCAAGGAGCTCTCCAAAACATTTTTCAAGATAAAAGTACTTCAGTGTCATCTGGCTACACAGAAGGCTGCCTTCCAGCATTTCCAACAGTAGCACTGACCCAATGCTCTGTGGATGTGATCCTGCAGCAGCCACACAGCATGGCAACATTTCCTAGGGGACACAGGGAGTGGGCTGTCCCTGCTCATGGAAAGGGTGGGTGGTCTTTCTCCAAATGAGAAGAGGATGGGAGAAGAAGCCTGTACACAATCTGTTGAGAAAAGAGGTGGGCAGAAAGGGTCTGACTGAGCAGGTGCACTTGAGGAGGAGAGAGGATGCAGATTAGGTTGGGAAATACAGGACAGGAACATTACTTGTGGGAATTATGCTACAAGTAGCAGTGACTTTTCTAAGTTCTTGGGTATGTTTCCACACAGAACCACATGTCTTCTCATGCTTCCTATGATGAAGTACAAGGCAGCATGTACTTTGGCCAGAAAAGGGAGAGTTTGGGCAGACTGCCCAAATACTTTTAGTAAAGACTTGCTAATAAAAACACTCCTCTGTGGGTCCATTTTCAGATATACAAGCTAAGGCAGCCTGAGGATAAGTTAAAACACTTTTCAAGTATTTAGGACCAATAGAGAGCCAGCTCTGAAGAGATTTGTGTTCATACATATATCCTCACATAAGCATTTTAGTACAGGCTGCTGCCCTCAGAGTGGTATGTGTATTTTGTGGGGACCCTTGAAAGAGGCTGAACTTAAAAAAAACCCAAAATAAATAAAGGCTAGTTAGAGAAAACTGTTCAAGTTTTGGAATTTATTGGTTTTTTTCCACCCACATCCTTAGTGGTTCTGCCCTCACACTGCTTAGAGACACTTGAGTTGGTGTATTTTAATAAGTTTACTAAAAGACTGAATGAAAATAAAATCAGGAAAATTTATTATCTAAGCTCACCTACCATAGTAACCCAAAAACTCAAGTAAAAAGAATTATAATGTTCAATTAAATTGAAATCAAACTGACATCAAAGCAAAACATTTAAACTCAATAGCAATGAATGTTCCACAATTCAGTTAGTTAGACAACACAAAATGTATTTATACAAGTCTATAAGAAGATGATCACCCATTGGTAATAAACGCTAAGGAAAGAATTTGATTGAAATCAGTCAAATGCATAATTTGGTTGGTTAAGTTGTCTAACAGTGAAACTTATTTACTATCTGGACCAAAGCCTGACAAAAATAATGGCATTTTTTTCCCTCAAGATGTTGTACACTTACGTGATGACTAACCCCTTCCTGCCCTTGTAGCAATAAAGACTTCAAAGTGATAAGCCCTATTTGCCAGGAGTCATAAAATGACAGTTTCATGTCACTCAGGACCTTTAAATGTATAGCACAGAACATGCCCTAATGATTAACTTGACAAGGTATTATATAAGGCTTCTAAAATCCAGAATAACAGTTCCTTCCAGAAATTTGCCTGCATGGCCAAATTGTCATTTCTACATATGCCCAAATAACAATTCAGGATTAAAAGTCTCTGGCTAAATTACAACAAGAGTGAAAAATATAAATAGTAACAGTAAGAGAACTCTCATTGCTAGGGAGTGATGGCACCAGAAAGCTGTCATGTGGATTCCCTGGCTGACAAAAACACGTCTATTACAGGGCTCTATAGATCTGTGACCCAGCAGCAATTATGTGAGACTGGTAATAGCTCAAATACTTTGAGCACCCTTCAGGAAGTTTGTATATTCTTGTGTGGGAGAATGTCAGAAGAAGGTACATCAATGCATTACAACACAAAAACTTTAAAAATAGATCACCTGAAAATCTGAACAACTAATCCATCTCCTCAACACTTCCTTATGAACTTTCTGAAGGATTATATAATATCTCTTCTCCTCAATAATGAATCTGCT